CGAATGAGCAATTATTATGTTTTGGTTGTTCCAAGGATAAAGGAAGCATGACTCTTCTTGACTTTAAACTAAAGCTTTCTTTAACTGCAAAAAAGGTTAGGTACTTGATTAAGAACCCAACTTAAGTTTTAGTAGTATTATTCAATCCTTACATGCTTACGCTTTTCCTTAAACAATTATGCTCCTTAAGTTAAGGAGAAGAAGTCTATAGCTTTTAGATTAAAAACTGAAAACTTAATTCCCATACTAAAATTATTGTTAGATGAATTCTTGAAGATTTTTAGAATCCATTATTATTAGTTTTTGGATTATGATATTTTTAATAAAATCATTTGTTATTGGTTTGATGTTTGGAGGAGCTGTATCTTTGATATTTAAGTACCATATATTTTAAATGGATTATGATATTGTCTTAATAACATATATATTTATCTTTGCCATTGAAAATATACCGGTTTAAAATTTTGTTATGTACATATTTAGATATTAGATAAATCATGTTATTTAAATAGCTGATTACGAATTTGAAAATAAAATTTATCAATTATTTTCTAATAGATCTTTGTAGTATAATTACTAATTCGTTTCTTTTTGTCATTTATGTTCGTCTCGTAGAAAACTGTTTGAGATTTTAGGATACTATTTTTTAAATGTTGGTCTTTCTAATAGGTTGACATAAAAAGGAGTTAAGATAAGTTTTCAAGTTAAATGTGTCCTTAAAACAATTGAAATTGGACTGAACGTAAGATTTTGTTTCTATTGAACTACAAACTTTTTTATTAAGAGATCAAAAAAACCTTTCATATTTCATGGAATATATAACACTTAAAAATAATCTAGAAATATTTGTTTTCTTTTAATTTTTAGAAATATGGTTAAGTTGATTTTTACTATCATCCATAAACACATTTTAGTTTTTTTATGTGTAATATATATTTTTGGTTCATAGTTGAAATTGAAATTGTGAAAACCATATATTATGACAAGACAAACGCGTAAACCACTTGACATAGTTAATCCCATCTGGAACACAAAAGCCTTTCGAGGCGAATATGAGTAAATCTTCTTGATCAAATCACCTACTCATCATTAATTTGCTCTTGTGCAGCTTTTCTCCAGAACTTCCATTATAGTTTTCTCTTGGTCTCCTTCTAGCTTTTGCAGCGCCTCCTCCCAAGTCTTGTCATCCTTGTCTTTTAAAGACGAACCGAGTATTGTAAGAGCCAGAGGAAGGAAACTGGCAATCTGGACAGCGCGTAGGGAGAGCGATTCAAAACTAGTAGGAGGGCATTTCTTTTTGAAGGCATATTGAGAGAAGAGTTCGAGAGCTTCGTCGTATCTTAGAGACTTGACTCCATAGACATGCTTCACGCCAAAATTATCTAACAAATTCTTTTCTTGTGTAGTAAAAATGACTCTACTCCCTGAACCAAACCACCCAGCAATCTCTGCTATGTCCTTTAACTGTTCGAGGCTATCCACACAATCAATCACAAGCAGACCTTTTCGGTGTCCAAGCGCTGATTTGATGTTGTCAAAGCTCCTTGTCATTGTTTGAGCTCCCTCTTGAATCTCTCTTGATGTGAATGTTTCTAGATGTTGTTGGTGATTGTTCTTTTCTGAGTAGTCTACAAACATATGAGCATGGAAATTAACAGACATTTTTTCGTACGCGTACCTCGCTAGTTTCGTCTTGCCAACGCCTCTTGGACCCCAAATGCCGACCAAGCGAACTTCTTTGTTAGATTTCAAATCCAGCAACTCGTATAACGCTTGCATATGACGATCCAACGCTACAGGTCCATCAGCTTTGGATGTTGATGGACTCTTCAGCTTGTTTGTAACCAAAAGCGAGATTTCATTTGAAATCAAATCGACCATCTTCGCTTCTTTGCTCCTGATAAAGTCATGAAACAAAGTGTTAGCATTCTAGTCTTGCTCGAGGATATTGTAAACATGTTATGAAACAAAAAGTTACCAAAAACGTGAATCCAGGCCGGATATGCTTGTGAGTTTGGTAAGAGCTCTCCTCCATGCTCGAACCTTGTCAGATGAATATTCTTCACCAAGATTTCTGAAAGGTTCTGCGAATTCTGTGGTCTGTTTTCTTATATACGAAGAATCCACTCCGCAGTAGATGAGTAGGACTGAGAGTTGACCTTCGTCGCGCAAGTTTAGTATTGCTTGGAGCTCGTTCAGGCACAAAACAGAGGTTGGATAGCTCTCCGAGACCACGACAACAGCTGTTTTTGTAGCTACTAAACATTTCCTTATGTCAGAACCAAAAGATGAGGCTCTCTCCTCCAGCTTGTCATCTTTGTAATAAGTTGAAATACCTTTTTCTGACAGGGAACGGTAAAGATCTGATACAAAAGTTGTTGTGGTGTCTTCTGCGCTAAAACTTAGGAATACATCAAACCTGGGGACATAATATGAAGAAGAGGCAGACATTGAGCAAAATGTAGTTCGGATCGTAAAGAAATGGGAGATGCTGAAACCCCAAACGAGAAAATATTCAATTTGGGACAGAGGAAGGTTCCTACTTGCACATAGTAAACTCTTTTAAGTATTTTTCAAATTTCAATAGCCTGAACGTGCAAGGTAGTTGAATGAGTGTGAATACGACTTTTGTATAATTTTAACGTATTAAAAGATATGGAGCACGTTATCTGATTGTGTTGCTCCATTTGTTTTATCCTAATAAGTAGATAGTATAAGAATTATGTCCCCTCTGCAAGTCATTATTTATCAATAAAATGACATTCTAACAAGAATAATAACTCAAGCGAGCCAGGAAGGAAAGACTAATTTCCTTCTCCTCAGCTTTGTTCTAATTGGCAATCATTTTCTTTCCGTCCATGGCCTCATCGTCCTCGCCAATTCGTGTCATAAACTATGATGTCTTCCTCAGCTTCAGAGGGGAGGACACCCGAAACAACATTGTTAGCTATTTGTACGAAGCTCTTAGCCGAGAAGGAATCTTTACTTTCAGAGACGATAAGAGGCTCCAGGCCAGTGAAAAAATTTCCGACCAACTCGTGGACGCCATAAAAACTTCGAGGTTCGCTGTTGTCGTCATCTCAAAGAACTATGCTACCTCGAAATGGTGTTTAGATGAGCTTCAACTGATAATGGAGCTTCAACGCAAAAATCAGATTCGAGTGGTTCCCATTTTCGACGGAGTGGAACCCTCTGACGTGAGACGCCAGACAGGAAGCTTTGCGGCTTCGTTTCAAAGGTACGAAAATCTATATACGGCACCAGAGATGGTTTCCCAATGGAAAAGAGCTCTCAACCAAGTCGGTCATATGTCAGGCTTCCATTCGAGGACGAGGTAATCTATCTTTATTTTGCTCTAGAGGACGAGGTATTATCACAACATTTCTCTAACTGCTTCACAGATCTTTTAAAGCATGTGTGTAAAAGCCAATAGCTCTCGCTCTTTTTTAAAGCATGAAGGATAGCCACACCTTAGAGTCAAGTCTAACCTATCTACAAGACTACAACCTTTCCTATTCTCCTCTGTTAGTTAGTCTTGACTCTTAATTAACTTTGCAGAATAGTATTGATCCTAGAACTTAGAACCAATGTATCATGTGTAAGGAATAGATAAATAGAAACCCCGATGAGGGAACAAAATGATGCTTGAGGAACATACCTGGTTGATGAATGTATACCTTTCGTTTCTTTGGGAGAATTAAAGCAATGCTTGTTTTCCATGTTAGCCTCAATGAAGCAGCGATGATATCAAATATAGTTCGAAGCGTCTCAAGTCAACTGATGAAGATGAGGCCGACCAGTGGGGTCGATTTGGTTGGGATGGAAGCACACATGGTGAAGATGCATTTTCTTTTGAATATGGAGTCTGAAAATGAGGTTCTCATGATAGGAATATGCGGTATGGGTGGTGTAGGCAAAACCACTATTGCCAAGTGTCTCTATGACCGATTTTCAAGACAATTCTCAGCCCATTATTTCACAGAAGACATTAAGAAGAATTACAAAGACAAGGGTCTGTCCTACTTACAGGAAAGATTTCTCTGCAGCATCCTCAGGGGTCAACATTTTAGTTTTCGAAGCGATGAAGAAGGATCCCTGGAGATACAGGCAAGACTCCGGCACCAAAAAGTATTTGTTGTGCTTGATGGTGTTGATGAAGCGAAGCAGATGCATGCACTGGCAAAAGAGACTAGCTGGTTTGGTCCAGGGAGCCGAATCATCATAACCACACGAGACTGGGGTCTGCTCAATTCCTGTGGAGTAAACATTGTACATGAGGTTAAGTGCTTGGATGATAAGGATTCCCTCCAGGTTTTTGAAAAGTTGGCTTTTGGAGGAAGACCGCCTCCTTCTGATGGATTTGAGCAACTGTACATCAGAGCTTCTCGGCTGGCTCACGGCCTTCCCTCTGCCCTTGTAGCTTACGCCTCGTATCTCAGTGAAAACAAGACCATAAATATGTGGGAAGCTGAATTACGTAAACTTGAAAGAAGGTCTCATAAGAATGTCGAAAAGATTCTGAGATATAGCTACAGCGATTTAGATGACCAGGACAAGGCAGCTTTTCTTCTTGTTGCCTGTCTCTTTAACAGATACCCTTTTAGCCATGTTGCTTCCTTTCTTGATGATGGTCTTCCAAGGATAAATCATCTAATCAACAAGTCTATAATTAGCATATCAGCGGATGGATGCATAAACATGCATTTCTTGGTCGTACAAACAGGAAGGGCAATTGTGCGCCAAGACTCCCCGAATAGGCCTTTCAGACAAAGGTTTCTATGGGATCCTGCAGAGATATATGATATACTGGAACATAACATTGTAAGTTCTTTCAAATCCCTTTGATTTCTTGTTGTAAGTCGAACTGCTAAGGATAGCATGCCCAGTGACTTAAAACGTTTCAATATACAGGGTACGGACGAAACTGAAGGTGTGACATTGCACATGTGTGAGATGCCTGATACATTACGTGTGAGCAATGAAGTATTTAACGTTATGAAAAACATCAAGTTTCTCAAGTTCTTCCAGCATTTGGGTGATGCAGAGTCCAACGTGCAGCTCAGGCAAGGTGCTTTTAATTTCCCCCCTTATCTTAGGCTACTACACTGGGATGCTTATCCGTTTAAAACCTTGCCATCGATCCAATATCGCCACCTTGTCGAACTGGACCTTCGATACAGCAACCTCGAGAGACTCTGGGACAAAACCATGGTAAGCTATCTTCAAAAATCATACGTTTGAGTCGGTCTTCCTATACAAATGAGTAAATGATGTTTTTCATTTTCTTGGTATTGGTTCAGAACCTCAGTAATCTACGACGGCTAGATGTGACAGGCTCCAAGAATCTGATAGAACTTCCAGATTTTTCATCAGCCATGAATTTTGAGGAGTTGATAGTAAAAGGCTGCATAAAGCTACGGCAGATGCCAGAGTCATTAGGTAGATTAAAAAAATTTTCAAAACTCAACGCAGTCCATTGCAGCGTCCTTAGGGGTGTCAGGTTCCTTGTTTTCTCAAGAGACTGGAGCATATATAGCGCCGCTTGGAGATTTTCATTGAAATTTCTTACAGATCTATCCATCGACGGTCAAATATATATAGAGATATCGGGCCTTCGTGAATTGCAGAGCACATCTCCTTTAGCCCCAAGAAACAGAACCATGACGAAATGGTGATGACGGAACAGACCCATAGAAACATGGTGATGACGGAACATGGAATACAAACATCTACGCTCCCATCAGATTCCTGTAGCTTACAATCACTCAACATCAAGAACTTCAGATACAAGGAGTTCAGATACAAGGAGATGAATGCTGCTTTCAGGTGTAACAGTTTTGAACTGATTCGAAGTTTAACAGAGCTAAAGCTAGTTAACTTGAACATTCAAAACATCCCAGGCAACATTGATTGCTTGGTCACCCTAGAGACGCTGGACCTCAGCGGAAACGATTTCGCGTATCTACCGACAAGCATTGGACAACTGCCCAAGTTAAAGTACCTCAGCCTTCGTAACTGCCGCAAGATCACATCACTGCCACATCTTACTCAGGTGGAGACCCTCATACTCTCTGACTGCGTGAACCTCCGATGGTTGCTGTTCGAGGACAGACAAGCCACAAACTGGTTGCTTGAGCTTTCGCTTGACAACTGCAAGAAAGTTCAAACCTTGTCAGGAAAACTGAGTCATTTCCCCAGACTAACATATTTAGACCTAAGCAAACATGACTTTGAGACAATCCCTGCAAGCATCAGAGAGCTTTCATCTCTCGGAACACTCTGCCTCAATAAGTGCAAGAAACTCATATCAGTGGAGGAGCTTCCACTGAGCATCAAGCATCTCTATGCACACGGCTGCGATTCCCTGGAGAATGTTTCCCTTTCGCCGAATCATTCAATCAAACACCTCGATCTTCTCCATTGTCCCCGCCTGAATCGACAAGAACATGAACATCTGATGAATCTGTTTTTATCTAACCGAGACAGTAAAGAGGTGAGCTCACTGCAAATCGACCTGTATTTTTTTTTTTCTTTTTCTTTCCGATATGTCTATGAACGTATTCTCCTATTTTTGTCGCAGGGTTTACGGCGATGTGTTTGCTTACCGGAAATTGGAGTGCCCAGCCGACTTGATAACGAATTCCCAGGGACATGTAAGAGGATCAGCCAACTTCTGATTTGGGTTTTTCTAACTGGACACTATCTCTGGTTCCTCTTTAGAAGACGTTGATGGTTCCTTCAATTCAAAAAAAGGTTTGAACTTTTTCTGCAAGTCCTTCCCTTTTTCTCCTTGATTCCTCAATGTCATGTTACCGACAATTCTTGGTGGGTTTCATCACGATGTTCTTG